GTGTAATTCGAGTTTTTAGCAGTTTACAAAGTTTCGTGACACTACATAACATACATACATACATATGTACGAACTTAAAACTTAAGCTTACCGTCTACAGTTTATAGTTTTCATTCCGTTCACACATACATTTCACACATTTCTAACACATATGTAACTATTAACTACTTTATTATTAAAAAAAAATATGAAGCAATTTTTTTAGTTTTTCTTTTTAATTTAGTTAAAATCTATAATTATGTACAATAAGTTCTGTGAAATTTTTAGTTTTAAATAAAAAATAATAAATATCTACATACAAAAATAGTTAGCAAACAGAAGTTATTGGGTGTTTTTAATACGAAAACTAAAAGAAAGTTAAGTTTTCCACTCACAAAAATTTTTCGAGTCTACACGTGAAATTAGCAGAACCTAATTGTAGTAGTAGTAGTAGTAGTTAGTATTCCACATTTTTCTATGAGCCTTGCCAGCATTTTTTTATCGCGGTAGCCACTAATTCGGTACTGTAAACATCATCGCTAAGTACATATACTGCCGGCAAAAAGTATTGACACAGCTGGCTTTTTACAATATATGGAACAATTTTCATTGTAATATTTTTCCCCCAATTTTTTATAAAAATATGGTTCATTCTCCAGAAAAACCTTAAAATTATAATTTCTAAACATTGTGCAAAGCTCGCGAAAATTCAGCAAATTTTCATGCAAATTTTCAACTTTTTATTCAGAATTTTTAGAATTTTTTTGAGTATGTAGATTTGCAGTCTAATCCAAAAAGTAAATGTTCTAAGTAGCTACGAGTTACCGTTGAGTTTTGGCAACGCAGTCTCTTTCATACAAAAAAAAAAATTTCGAAAATATTTTCTATTGAAAAAATTAAAAAAAACACCTTCAAAAAAAAAAACTCAAAAATAAATACGATTTTTGAACAGTTCCAAACTAGCATTTTTTATACTAGAATTTCATCGGCTACAAAACTGCGTACTTAAGAAAATTTTAAAAAATCTGATGAAAAAGCTTAAAATTTGCATGAAAATTTATTGAATTTTAGCGAGTTTTTCACAAAGTTTAGAAATATATTTTTATGTTTTTTGTTATAGATTGAACCATATTTTTATAAAAAAATTAGCGGAAGAATATTAGTATAGAAATTTGTGCATGTATTGTGCAAAATCCGCTGTGCCAATACTTTTTTCCGGCAGTGTATGTAGCTTGTTTTATGATACTGAATTAGGAACTATTACGATAATGGTAAAATTAGCTTGTGCGATAAAGTCACAAGTGTTAAAGAAAATGTTTCGAAAAATCTAAAATTTGAAAAAGATAAGATGCATTTCGGCGTCGCCTAATCTCTCACGTTTTGATGATATGCATCAAATTCAAAAGCAAAGTTGTAATTGCATTAAGACTCTTTAAAAATTATACTAAATTGATAAGACTTGGAATTAAAAGTTACGAAAACCCATTACTACAATCTCCATACAAACTGCTAACAAATAATTTATGTATTAGTTTAAATTCTACTAACTTCTAAATACGTAGTACAATAAAATTTCTACCATATCTTTATACAAATCTATATACAATACCGACTGCACATATCTACTTATATATACAAACCTCAGTATTTATATACTTAGTTCAGTCTTTGGAAGTAAAAATTTTCAAATTACAGAAAACTGTCTATTCATATTTTCATTGGAAAAAATAAACCCAAAAATGCTATTTTTTCCATTTTTTTTAGGTTAAAAAAATGAAATGTGCGAAAAAGAAATGCATATACATAGGTATTTTTGAAAGTAGAAAATATTATTTTAACTAATTCGTGGCACATACATACATATTTATGTATGTACAGCTAATGTACATATAATATGTGGTATACTTTTTTCTAAAGAAACTACTTTACTGGATCGTAATATATCAGAATCTATATACACAACTTAAATTGTACTATTATCTATTAATAGTAGAATTTTATTATAAAAAGTGACTAAAGCTCCAAAAATTATTGGTAATAAGATGGCAAAATTAGGTTCCAATTTGTTTCTTGGTAATATCCAAAAGGAGTTTTTTCCTAATTGGGCGCTCGATAATAGGCAATGACATTGTTATTGAAAGCTATTTTTGCCATGAAAAATCTTCCAAGATAAAATTGCAACAAAACTAAGACACACCCAAATAGCTGAAGGAAACTCGGACAAGTACTTAGAAAATTGTGTTGTGGAACTTCTCTGAACATGCTGGGGCCAAGTTAGTTTTAAAAAACTAATATTTAGTTTATGCTTTAAGATAAACATTTGGCAATATAATTTCTGTTTCTACTGGCACATTAGACAACTTAGCGAAAGCTCAGTGATTTTTGGGAGCTTTAATTTGCTGAAATTAGGGTGGTACATTAACGTGCTAATAACTGAATTCTAATGAGTAAGTACTAGAACGGAGTACTTGAGGTGAATTAACTTTGGAACAGAAAAAGTTTTCTCCTCGAGGCGAAATCATCGATGTATCATACTTTGAGATGCTACTGCAAATGCCGAATATGTGACGAAAAATTACAAAGAAAAATCGAAGTTGACTTCGATTCGAAGTATTTCCTTTGCAAAAGTTTATTAAATTTTGGCAAGCTTTATTCTACTAATATTAGGGTCATACGTTAGTGTGGTTGGAACTGAGAACTGGCATGTACTAGTACTAGTTTTTGAGAGTTTTTGAGGCCAATGATTAACAGTATGTTCTAGCTGCCTCAAACTTGCAGTTTTGTTATAATAAAACTGTATTGGCTACGCAACATCTTTTTTTTAAGAAATCTAACTAAAAATCTGCAATTTTTACAAATCTTTGTTTAGTTCTCTTTTTAATATTGCAAAAAGTTTTAGTTTTGGATTTATAAGATTAAAAAAAAAACTATATTTGTAAATAACAAAAAATTAATTGTTAAATGTCAATATGTGATGCATTTATAATTTTGACACATGGTCTATATTTAGTCTCCGTACTATTCATGAAAAAAAGTTGCCTTAAAAACGCGGGTGCCCAGTGTTTTGTAGATCTTTTTTCAACTTAGATAGTCAAACCATAGCAAAACGTGCCAAATGAAAAGCTAATTTTTGTTGCGCAGCTTTATATAAGAAACCAGTTACATATCAGCACCTAAGTGGAAGAACGCCCCACTTTAGAACTTGTATAAAAAAATGTATAGTTTTATTTCAAAATCAGTTTGAAGCATGCTGGTGGTTCGATACGTGCTTTGAATGCTCAAAAGATCCGTTTATTCGAATATGTGATTAAAAGGTCCAGTTAATATACAGAATTACAAATAAAAAATTTAACAGATATTAACCCGATCGCGAAATTAACGAATGTAATTCAAATGTCCGAAAATTATCCGAATATTAACCGGGTATGCGGATATCAAAATATAACGTATATTACAGATACCCGGATGTCCTTATACACAGATAGCTGCAGCCCTAATTTAAAGTCATTCAATACAAAGGTATCATCCTGTTTATGAAAAGGGCTTCGGTTTCGAACTATTTTTCTAAAAACTATTCATTTCTTCCATCCTTAAGTTTCTGCTTGCTTATTTAGTTCAGAACTCTATATTTTAAGACAATTTATATTTTTTAATAGTATTTTACAAAGCCTAGATAGTAGTGTTTTATATAAAAACCTTCAGCTGATTCTAGTCACCATATCGTACAAATAGTTTCTGAAACATTTTTTTTTTGTATTACAAATAATTGCTCTTAATTTGTTATTTTTTTTTACGTTATAGAATTTAGTTCTTTTTTATAATATCTAGTTGTTGCTATGCCTTTTTCCTATAAATAAGTGCTAATATATTTCTTTTACATACATAGTTATTTTTTACTTTTGTTTTTGAAAATTTAGTAACTACTTACTCCACTTAAGTATCTAAGTAATTAACAATAATGCGTCTACTTAATGTAATCTCGCTGCGCTTTGCTACAAACGCACCGGCCTAGTCACATTTAACAAATGAAAGCATTCCGTACAATACTACATTTGGTACTTAGTATATACACACATGCATACATACAAGTACACTAGCATACACATGGCTTTGTGTACTCCATGGCGTATACGTGACGTCCATTAAATACCCAAGGCCGCTGCGTAGATGGTTAGAAACAATGGAAACTATTGTGTTCGCATTCAATTAAGCACATTCATGCAATAAACAAACGTTAGTACACAAACATACACACACACACACACACACACAAACAATGGTGCATACAGCAACACACAAATACGCACCACGGTATTACATTCACTTATCTGATGAGCATGTATCATTTGTGAGTATTCCATTTCCACTTCAATTCACATTGTCGTCATCGTCATCATCACCATCATCATCATCATCATCACCGCTATCGTC